ATATATATATATATCTGAGAGATAATAATATAATCAAGTCTCATAATTACCTTGACATTTTTTAAAAAGTTATCTAATCAAGTCTAAAATTTAATCTATTCCTTATAAGTTTTACGACAAATGTTTTTTTGGAAACCTCGTTGAAAAGAAGTCAAACAACTCGAGAGTCGTACAAGATTCTTATCTATCAGCTGTAATCAGCATTAGATTACAATTAAACGCCCATGTGAATCTTAAAAAAAGTAAGCTCCAAAAAAATATGAATGATTTCTTAGTGTGTGCCTCGGTGTTCAGTAGCTAAGATAAGAAAAAGGCGAATGTATTTTTAAAAAATCTGTACTTGTATTGGACACGCTTCGTGCGAGTTAAATTATTGCAACTATTTTTATACTTAATTATTAACATCTTGGTATTTTTTAGATATACAAGCATACCTAAAGATAATGAAATTTTGGTCACATTATTTCATTCACTTTTTTCTCTTCGTAAACTTACCCCATTACTCACAATGTCTTGTTATTATGGCACCAATTATACGTATGTTTTTTTTAAAGATTATTTACATAACTTTTAATAAGAATGCTGTTAATGCACGTATAATTTAATTACATGGTATCGTAAATAAAACATAGTTTGTTGTTTCCTTGAAAAAGATTTTTTTTTAATCGTAGATCGTTACTCTAGATTGTATTTCTTTAATTTAACGCATTTCATTTTTAAAAATACCTTGTACAACAATTAATTTATGTTTACAAAGACTGTCATTCACCCCAAATTCTATCGGATAAAATTTTGATTTCTGCTTTGGCACATCGTAGATTTCGTCGATTCAATCAATTGCTGTACAAAATATTACGATCCGTCATTGATCTTCAAAACGTGAAAAGCAGTTTAGTAACATCAAAATTCATCAATTCCAAAATAATTTCAATACGAAGACAGGGGAGCTCGATCACGATGCAAAAAAATTTTTTTTTAAATCGAAGGCGACAAAATTTATTTCATGTACTAGTAGTAGTTGTAGCACTTCACATAAATCCGTACATACTTCCTTTCGAGCAACGGCGTAAAAGATTGAGCCCTTGTAACGCACTGCACCTACCACCATTGAGCAACCCAATTCTTTGAATCAAAAAAAATTTTCCGTTAAATATTTTCTTTTATTACAATTTCATACAATTAAATAAGGAATTCGTAATTAAAAAAAGACAATTTTAATCTAATAATATATTATTTTTGCCAAACTTATATTTTTTCAATTAAAAAAAAAATATTTAACGAAACAAGGTTAAATAAATCTTCTTTGGTTCATATAATTGTGTTGCTCACAGAAAAAAAAAAAAAAAAAAAAAAAAAACAGTCCACATACCTGAGACTCTAAGAATCTTTCATACCAAACAAGATAGGTTTGTGTACCACAATTGTTTCCACGTCCCCTCATTTAATAAAAGCTACTTTATGTATGTAACTCCAGAGATACGAGATATAAGTAAACGAAACACATCTGTTTTCCGTAATTGTACGCAAACGCCATTGTTGGATACGACAATTTTAAACTGCGTCTATTTCCTCGTCTAGTCAGTGAAATCGAAAACACGACACACGCACAAGCGACAAATGAGCTTCGAAGCTACACATGCTCCCAACGAGATGTGATGTCAGTATACAAGTGTTGTTGCACGTGAACGATAATTGAGCTTACTCCCTCCAACACACGAACCGTGAAGATCGCGTAATCCACCCGGTTTACATAATCCCTGCAGCGCGAGATGAACAAACAGGTACCCGTACGCGTTGCGAGGTGTACAAAAAAAAATAAATAAATAAATAAAAAAAAACCAACAAGGTGACAGCGATGATCCAAAAGACCGACGCATCCATCAATAAAAACAAAAACAAAAAAGTTCGCGATACGCACGCGTGCGTATAAAGGAAAGATCGGGTTACTCCTCCAGCCCGGGCCGATCTCAGCATCCACGCGGTCTTGACATTGAACGAGGGCGTCTCCGTCATTGCGCAATCGCGTCCCTCTTTTTTGCCTCTCTCGCGCGAGCTCGCGACAAAAATATACAAGTACGGTGGCACTCGTATGGTCTTTTTTTTTTTTTTTTTTTTTTTTTTCCTAAAGCGAGCAACAGTTGCACCATGAATAATACAGAGTTTGTACCTATTCGTGCGTGTATAAGCCAATTCGTATATGGTAATTAGCTCTTAATTGACATTGTGGGATCGAAGGGGGCGAAGACATATATACAAACGAGGAGAGTCAAGATCGCATGTTCGAGTTTGAATGCCACCAAGTATATATACGTTGCACACGTGTGTCGGACTCGTTGACGTCGGGGGCTGCATGCGAAACCGCACGTGTAGGTATACACTCGAAAGTGCCTCGTTGGGCCGCGTGTGTGGAGGTGTATATGCACTTGGTGTACATTATGTGCGTGCCTGTAATTGA